TCCAGAGGAGGGCCACAAAGAAGATCTGAGGACTGGAGCACCTCTGCTGTGAAGACAGGCTGAGAGAGTTGGGGCTGTTCAGCCTGGAGAAGAGAAGGCTCTGGGATGATCTTATAGCAGCCTTCCATGGCTTAAAGGGGGCCTACAGGAAAGCTGGAGAGGGACTTTTTACAAGGGCATGTAGTGATAGGACAAGGGATAATGACTTTAAATTGAAAGAGGGTAGATTTAGATTAGATCTAAGGAAGAAATTTTTCACTCAGAGGGTGGTGAGGCACTGGAACAGATTGCCCAGAGATAGATGCCCCATCCCTGGAAGTGTTCCAGGCCAGGTTGTATGAGGCTTTGGGCAACCTGGTGTAGTGGAGGGTTTCCCTGCCCATGGCAGGGGGGTTGGAACTAGATGCTCTTTGAGATCCCTTCCAACCCTAACCATTCTATGATTCTATGATTCTATGATTCTATGATTCATCTCCTTATTAAATCCCTGTTTGAAGAAGACTTTGTATTAGGCTCTTAAAGTATGAAGGTTGGAAGCCTCTCAATGAGAAAGTTAACTGCACTGGGCTTCAAGCTAGCTCTTTCAGAGAGACACTGAGTTGGTCAAGCAAGAAATGTTTTTCAGGGCCTAAATTTTTTACTGGACTTTTTAAAGGAAGAAAGAACCTCTTCAAGTTGATGCAACTCTTCAGCAACTAGTGGAGTGGAGGACCTGAGATAACGAGCGGTTACAAATCTTCGAGCTGCGGACACAAGAGAACTGCTCAGTCTCATTAGCTTTGGCTTTGTGAGGAGTAAGTGAGGATGTGGCTAGGTGGGAAACACCCAGAGCCCATCAAGGTCAGTTCCTCAAAATTGCAGATTTTGAGGAGTATTTCCTCAAAATGCAGGAAATATTTAATCCAAAGTTGTTTGCAGAACATCTGGTCTACCCCTCCATGCACCACAGCATATTTCATTCCTCTCTATAGTAAAGATTAGGCCTACGGTCAAGAAATGATGCTGTGTCACAGGAGTTCAAACAACACACACAACTATTCATTCTTTAGATGGCTATCAGAGTAAGAAATAAAACTGGTTTGAAAATAATATACCTGAGGTCTTTTCACCTTTTACTAACGCGGAGTGGAGACAGGTTCAAGCTACAGGGTATTTTCTAAATCAAATAATTCTCAAGGATCAGGACTTTTGAGATCCAGGCCTTAAAACAGCCCTTTGTAGATCTAGAGGTGATTGGAAATGTGACTCATTAACATGGTTAATAACCACGGCCAATGCCTCTAAACTACACAGCCAAGACTCTCACTTTTTCGCATTCTGAAATCTTGAGCTCAATTTTTGCTGGTGGTTCCAAGTGAGGGTGGTAACTATGTGAGGCTGAGGACTACCTTTACATTTTCCTGTATTGTTGAAATTTAGACCCAGATTTCGCATTATTATTTAAGACAAATGTTCAGAACAGGGAAAAAAAAAAAGGAGAAATAGGGAAAAAAAAGGAGAAAAGAACAAAATGCAACTCATCAGTGCCCTGAAATAAATGTCTCCTACTTGTGAGTGCAATCAAGTTCACAACAGTACCAGTTTTGACAGGGAGTGGAGTAAGTCCCTCCAGATGAGTAGACTTTGCCTTGAAACATACAGGGGCAGTTGTCTCTGGGGATGCATTTTTTGCCACTGAGGTCATCAAGGATGGTTCCTGTTCAGAGACATTAACTAGTTAATATACCTTTGGTGAGTTTGGGAAACACCATCAAGGAAGATTAGGGTAAGGAAAAAAACTGTGGAGTATTCAGCATTTCTGTAAATGGATAGAATATGTTTTAAGGAAAACACCACACCAGGGCCTTTCAGGTGTTAATGGATGGCAAACATTTCTTACTAGAGCTCAAATGAAAGCAATAGAAAACCCAAAGAATATCTCTGCATGTTACTGGAATTTGTCCCTGAGCAGGATTATCAAGTGCCAGATTACAAGGATGTAAAACAGTATCCATCATTTTCTATTAATGAATCTAACAGAAATCAGATCCTCATCTTAGCCTCTACTTCAAGGGCAGACTTACACATGCACATACCAGCAATGCATTTAGATTATGTGTGACTTAAGCTACACCAAGATCTAGCCTGGTAACAGGGAGACACCTCACCTGGCATCTTCACCTGCATTCCTACTGTCTAGAGAACACCTCTTCTCTTTCAACATCCATACCATTTTTTTTCTGTCTAGTCCTTAAAAATCTCTCCCTCCCCTCCTCCAGTGTCAGGATCTTGAATATTTAGAGATCTGGTTCTTCCAAGAAGTTGTTAAATTATGCTAGAAGAAACAGTTTACTAACTTGCTTTAGTGCAAAATGTTAAAGAATTGCCACTAACTGAAAGGGAACAACCTCCCTCTTTGTCCCTTGATATGCGTGACCCATTGGAAGAAGTGAACTGCCTTACCAGGAGGACAGAAACAGCCATCTGTACATGGCGCTTTACAAATCTTGCTCCTTTCTGGGTCAGCGCATGTGTCAGCACACGAGTTTCCACATTCCATGTACTCCATGTTGTTTGG